CAGGATCCAGACTAGTAACATGGGTAGAGATAATAATGGCAAACAAGAAACCAAACAGAAAAAACACCCAATTGGTTTAATAAATCAAATAATTTTAAATCTTTCAAGATCCAAAAAGACATCAAAGCTCCTCAAGATCCAAATAGCTTAATGTACAGATCTTTAATTCCTCAACATTAAAACATATCAACAAGTAATATGAACATATACATATGTAAGGGTTAACTTTTAAAACATATTTTATTAAAATGTACTAGGCAGTAGCAAAGCTATTATATTGATAAAATCAATAATCATAACAAAACAATACCAAGTAATCTATGTAAACAATATTTCAAATACAGGTAGCAAACTAGTCAAAACAAGTAAACAATACTAATACTAAATAAAAATAATAATGCAAGTTATATTCATATATTCATATTAAAATAGATTAGTAAGCTTAAAAATAATTACTGAAATAGTATTAAGAACAAAATTAATCTGCTTATGTGACCAATTATAACACAATACAACTATACAACAATAATATCAATATATATACATATAAACTTTTTTTTTAACAGGTGGCTTACACCTTGTTTATTAGATGTTTTATGATGAGTATGTACAAATTTATTTTATATAAATTTATCACTCTATCTACCTAAATAAACTCATTAAGGAAATCTTTCTACCATGTGACTTATTGCCAAATACTGATATATACTTGACTAATTTGCCAAGGCTCTACCTGTCCCATAAAAATTTTGTTGAAAATAAATAGATTGTGTTCCAGTTAATCCAGTAATAGCTAGCATGTACCATAAGTGCGTTGATACCTGGAATATAAGATTTGTATATATTCTTTTTTGTAATTATGGAATGCCATTGCCTTTTGTCTTTTGCAGTGATATTGTACTCTTTTTCCCATTGTATAAAGTTATCACACCTTTTGTTTCATTTTTCTTGTTATACCTTGAGGAATCTATTGACAATACTTGTGATAGTTTCTTTGTGATGTTCTGCTGGTATATATTTTTTAATAATCTTTATTAAGTCCATTGTGAGGACTCCTCTTGCTATGTAGTTCTTGACTTCATTTGTCCAGAGATTTGCTTGTTTGTTAAGGTCTTTGTTGAGGTTGTGTTTTGTGGGTATGTTTGATCTACTGCTGACTTCTTTATTAATTATTTGCTATAATTCTTTGTAGATATCTACTCCATTCCCCCTGTATATCATGCAGTGTGTGTTGGTTTCTATTTGTTGGCAGTTGAGGCATTGATTGTCTATATAAGTGTTTGCTGCTCTTCTATTTAGTTTGTCCTTGGTAGATAATTCTAGGTTCCAGAGTCTGTATCTGAAGAATCTACTATTGTGGTCCTCTCAATTAGTAGGTCCTGTTGTGAGTTTTGAAGGTGGTTTGTTGATGAGTGGGGCCTCTTATGTGATGTAATTTAATATGAAGGTACTGTTGGTTATTGTGAGGTTGCAATCAAAACTTCTCCAATTGAGAATATGTTTTGTACTGATTAAATTTTTGATGAAGGTTGTAATTGTATTGTCTAGGGTATATCCATTCCATTCTTGTGTCCAATTCACTATGTTACCCACATCTTTTATTAACTTTTTTATATATACTATACAGTGCCTCTATTCACTGTACATTTTTTATTATTTACATACAGTATATTGTCAACAAGTAATTATATATATTTTGAACTAAATCTATTTATATGAGTAGCTATAATTATCTACCTCTATGTACAACTACTACCTATTTGGAAAGATGCATGATTCCTTCTTAATTTTTTCCAGAACAATTTTATTTACGGTAAGAGTATTCTGGTTATCAGGTCATTAAATTTTCTTTATCCTGAACTTCTCAGTACTTCTAAGTCCTTCAGAGTGATCCACGAATTTCTCCTTCTACCAAGGCCTCCCGATAGTCAAGTCTGTGAAAGTAGGCACAGCCACATACTTGAGTTCTTGAACGGATGCCTCAATACTAAGGCAAGAGGGTTTTTTTTTCATTTGATTTATCATTTTTTTCTTTAGCGATATACTACCAGTTCAATGTCTACTCTTCTTATTACCTTTATCTGGTAATGTGACCGTGTCAAAGAATAATCCTACCCGATTTCAGACATTCAGCCTTATTACAATCTATATATAGACCGGCTTGTATCACTCAGGAACTCTAGGTGACTGTCGAGACAAGCTATATATGAAAACATTAGTTATATATAGTTACACCAATGAATACAGATTATTACTTGCTTTTCAGAGGTTGCCTCCTGAAGGATTTGATTACAGTTCTTGTGATCTGACCTATAGAGTGCTAACTACTGCACTATGGACCCGTAAGTCCAAAAATTTAATATAAATTATAAAAAACTTATATAAATAGTTTTAAGTAACCTTATTCTTTAACTTTTAAAAAATATTTATTTAAATTTTTATATTATTTAGATAATTTTTTATTAAGTTATGAATAAATAAATAATTCTAAAAAGTTTTGTTACATACTGTATTTAATTCTATTATGTTCTTACAAAATATTAAAGGTTCATTTGTATTAACTCAATTTATGAATTATAATGAAAGTATTAATTTATATTCAAAACAAATTTAATTTTTCTTTACACATTTAGTAAACTTTTTGAATAATGTTATTGAATATTATTTGATCTTTATTCAGTAATACAAACTGGTTAATTTAACAAAAAATAGATTTTATTTTAAATCTGAAAATGATATGAATATTAAATTATGAAATATCTAATTTTATCCAGTTAGACATGAATGTATAATTCCTATTTATAATATTTTTGATTAATTTATTCTATTTAGGTATAGAACCTCAAATTGACAAGATTCTCATGAATATTTAGCTATAATTTCTTTAAATTATAAATATAATATATAATTAAAAATTTGACAAATATGAAAATTTTGATAAAATTGAAATTTTATGAATGGCTAATAATTTTTTGAAAATTTTTTAATGAAATATATAATAAAAACGGTATGAATTATATGACAAATAATATCAAATTATATAGTAGAAATTGATTGATAATTTATTTATACTGAATTATATAGTAGAAATTGATTGCTGATTTATTTATATTAAATTATATAGTAAAAATTGATTGAAGATTTATTTATATTATTAATATGCTAAATTATTTATTTTTGATAAATGTTATATAAGTGGCATTATGATGAATAAATATTTTTCAACTAGTAATAATATTATTGAGATATGTAAGTATAATCAATAAGAGTTTGTTTATATTTTAAAAATTAACATGTTTTATATTAATCAATTACCTTTAATAAAGATTGTTAAAAAAAAAAGAAAATAAGTCTTTTTATTACAAAAAAATTCTATAAATTCTTTGCTTCAAAAATTAAAATTTTTGAGTATTTTACAATTGGTCTTTCTTTCTTTGAAAACTTTTTTATCATTAATATCAAAGGTATTACTTGACTTTTCTTGACTATTAGAAGTCAAATTTTTGAATAAAAAAGTTTATAAACTACAAGAAAAGAATAGAAGCAACTTATAAAGTCAAATTTCAAGTTGTTTTAAGAAAAGTATTAAAACATTATTAATAAAAAGTAAAAAAAAATTTTATAAATATTTTTTTTATATAGTTAGAGAATTAGTAAAAGGAGTCATTTTATAGTTAAACAAAACATTGTTTATTGTTATCACTTTTTTTTTTATATAAATACTATTAACTTGTTTCTTATAATTTTTAAAATACTGTATATTATTTTGAAAATTAAATTGAAATTTTAATAAATATATAAAAAAGCTATATTGCTAAATGAAATTAAATAATATATACCTACAAAAGAATATTTAATAATATTATGAACTGTAATAGAATATCAATTGGATCCCATATATTTCATTCTTTGTCAAATTATTTATTAAAGATTAAAGATTAAAATATTTATAGAACATAATAAAGTATATGTAGGAATAATAATTTTGTACGGAAAAAATTTGCTTATCGAACACTGAAAATCTTTAAGAAATTTTTAAATTTAACTATAATCGCCTGGAATAACTTTTTTGCATCCATATTGGCTAATGCCGGTATTGCATTTGGAAGTGTCGGTACAACATCGAATACAAAATAATTCAACATCAGGCTCGACCAAGTTCACAAATCTATTGTAATGAGCACAGGTTGCGCCCGGAGGAGCACCTGCACTATCGTACTGACCACCCCCGTCGTTTTCACTTAAACCGTATGCGTCTCTATGAATAGTGCCAGTTACCTGGATATAACCATCTCCAGTGGCGAAGTGATATGATTTGATGAATCCTTCGGGAAAGATTCTGGCACCAGGCGCATTTGGACTAGGCGTATTGCAAAACGCGACAGCATTATTTTCGCTACCACTAATGTTACCACCATAATCTGGTGGAAGAAATGAACAGAAAACGGAATCATTTTCTAATGTTGCGGTGATAGTTTCCTTGTTCCCAGGATCACGTCGATATGGCGGTATGCTTATAGCAGTGGATGTGATGGCCAAGAGAATCAACAATAACTTAAATAATTTGAACATTTTGTAATAAATGAATGTTGAGTTTTTTTTCGTTGCTTATATATAAAATTGTGTTAATCGAAAGATGGCAAATCGTTTAATTCATATTTACGTGTTAGCATTTGATGTATTAAAATTACTATTAAAGGCCTCTTACTTCACTTTCATAGGGAATAACCAAGTATTATTTTTAGGGATATACAGTACCTATTTTAAATTCGTGCCGTTGAAATGTCATATAAATGAACCTTTCACATGCTTATAGGAATATCAAAATTAATGTAAAATATAAAATATAAAATTTAAGATTTTACTTAAATGATATAAATTAAATTTCATAAAAAAGACATCGAACTCTTATAATCCATATGTGAATAAACAAAGCATTACTATTTTAAAAAAGCATGTTCTCGGATTCGGTCTATGAGTAATATGGTTATCATAAATACTTCATTAAAGAGACCGGAAAAAGGGATAATCACGATAGCGGTTAAAAATAAAAATATGACATCATATAAATTTATTTATAATATAGTTTACCATCTGTTTCTAGTTTTCTTTGAGTTCAATACTGTATATCTCTGTTCCAAGGTTTTTGATTTGTTCCTTGGTTTCTATACCATCAAGTCTATCACATAAAATCTCCAATATCTTTTTTCTATTTGAAAAGTTTACTATCAAAAATCAGAAAAGTGATAGATTGTCTCAAAATTGCAAGTTATTATAAAGAAGTCAAATAAATTAAAGAAGCAATCAAAAAAGCTTTATAACAAATATACAAAGATCTTAGAGATATTTAAAAAAGACTAGTCTGTTTTTTAACTAATAAAATTAAAATAAAAGCTATAAATAGAATCAAAATTATAAAAAAAAAGATAATAATATATAATAATTGAAAAGCAAAAGATAAATAAAAACTTCAAATGCTATATATCATAAAAAACATTTAACAAATATAGATAAAAAACAAATTTTAATATCTTAACTAAAAATTAACAAAAGAAATATCAATCAAAAGAGGATATTAAGGAATATTGATATAAAGACTTAATTTTATTAATTATAAAAAAAAAAGATAATCAAAATATTATAAGCCTTATTAAATAATAAAAAAATTTAGGAAAATCATAAATTTACTATAAAATATTGAAAGAATAAGAGAATAAATAAAAAATACTTAAAATATATTTTTAATAAAATCTTATTATAGCAATATATCATATAAAATTATTATTATTATTATTATTATTTTATAAAGCTGACTCAACCTTGTTTTATTTATATTTATGCAATATTATTACATAGAAATTTTTTAAGATATACTATTAATCTACTATCAAACAAAACTCAATAGAGATAGCCTCTATTAAGAGATACTCACCTTGTGACTTGTTGCTATCCTTTTAATGGAAGCTAACCTATCAAGGCTATGCTGGTACTAAAATAAATTTGAGAATATAAAAGTTGTCTATTGCATTTATTATTTATTGATCAAATGAATAAACTGGTCTTTTATGTATTTTTTTCTTTGTGTAAAGAGTAGATCTTTTTTTTTTTTGTTGTATATTTGAACTTCTTTTCTTTTTGTTTTGTGATACCATTTTGTACTTTCTATTCTTGAAAGGCCTCATATCTTTCTATTCATATTTGATGAAAATATTTGATAGTTTTTGTACATATTAGGAAAATGTAACTTTTTCTGACTAATTTATTTAGAATTATTCTCCTAATATCATAGATTATTTCTTTGAAGAATACTTATTTTATACTTGCTACCAAGTATTCTTTATATCTTAAATTGATTTTGTTTTTTATTATATCTATAAAGTTTGAGCTTTTAACTCTCTATTATATATTTCTAAACATTCAATTATTGTGTTGATTATCTCAGTATTCTATCTAATTTGCATGCACACAAAGGAATATATATTAGTTTTAGGTTCTTTGTATATCAAACAATCCTTATTTTGATATAATAAAGGGGCTCTTGTATATAGGTTGCTTTTGATCAGTAGCTTTTCATTTTATATGCTAAGATAAAATTTCCTTAACTTTTGATTTTCTCAAGCTGTGTGATAATTTCCTTATCTTGTTTAGTTATAGATACATTATAGTTGTGAACCAATTTGTTTTTATGAGAATTCTATCACTGAAATTATATCTTATGCTGTTTAGTACTCTCCATTTTGCCAGGTATATAGCACTTGTGAGCTTTTTTGTAATCATTTTTATAGAAACTTCAGTGAAAATATGATTTTATTGATAATTATTCTTATGAAATAGTTTTATATCACTATTATCTTGATTTCTTTTTTCCCAGTATCATATCTTTCTATAGATAGATCTATACTAGTTTGTTTGTTATTTCATTATATTTTATTCTTGAGTAGCTTTCACTTTGAATAATAGAAGTTTTATTTTATTCTCTTTGTACTATTCTGAAATTTGTAATAATATATTGTAATTTTTCTATATTTTTATGATCATTTTTGATACTTTCTTTTTGTGTTTTCAGAATTACATTGATTACTATTTGACTGTCAATGAATATGTTTGCTGTGTTTTATTCTGATAAAATACTAAGAGCTATTAAAATAGCTACTATTTCTGCCTTGATTAATAAGAGGTATCTAATTATTTGTTCTTGGAAAGTATGTGTTTTCTGATTTGGAGTAATGATAAACCACTTCAGTCCTATATAATTTTTGTTTCTGATTTTGGTTAGAAAGTCATCAGTATAAATATTAAAGATTGCATAGGTTCTTAATTCACCTTTAATTGTTTTCAGAATAGTCAGACTATCTGTGAAATCTTTTATTATTCTATTTAATTTTTCTAAACTTCTTTACAAACTTGTTGTAATTGTAATTTCTGTTTCAGTTTTTTGTGAGTTTGTATTATCTTGTGGGGTATATTCCATGAGTATAGTATTCAGAGAGTTGAGAAATACTCTGTTTCTCTATCAGAATTCTTTATATATAGGATTGATTTTGTTTATTAAGATTTTGCTTTTTTGAATTAATATGATAATTGATTGTTGTTTTGTAATGGTGAAGCTATATTCATTGGTATTGTTTCCTAATATATTAATATTACAACCAGGACATGCCTTTAGGAAGGAGTTTTCTGATTTCTAAACATAGTATCTATATTGTGTTATGTACTGGTTGATTTTTAATTATTTTTTTTCAATAAATGCATTATCTTTCTTAATAGTATAGATCCAATATGATTTGATGATTGAAGTTTTAGATGTTAATATTCCTTACTTAAATATATTTAGGATAATGATTTGAAAGTTAGAAATTTCTTTTCTTTTAATTAATTCCTTTAACTTTTTATTGATAGTAATAAATTAGTTTGAAGTGGAACCTGGGACTTTCTTTTTTCTCATTCTAATAATTTAGCAACAGTTCAGGGTCTTTGTTTTACTTCTGTTTAGTATTTGATCAGTAAATATGAGATTGTGCTTTTTTAATTTCTGATGATGTTTTGGACAGAAGTCTTTGCTCATAATTTTCTCTATTGGTGTATCAACTTCTTTTAAAATATCAGACTGTTTGTATTTAAAATAAGTAAGAAAGTGAAGTTATGTTTTCTCATGAGCCAGATTATATTATGTATAAGATTCTTTTCTAGGTTTATTAGAGTGTATTTTAGTTTATTCAGAATATATTGTGTTGATCAAAAATTATTTTGAATAGATTATAGTCTGATTCTTGTTATATCATCTGCTTTGTTCTGTTTATTGATTCTATTATATCAGTTGGTAAAGTATAGAAGTAGTTGTCTATTTCAGAGATGTATAATATTATATTCATGCTTTTTGAAGAGTACAATATATTATTGGATGCTATTTTAACTAAACCTAGTTTATATTTAAAAGTGGATATAATACTACTTATAAGTAGATTACATACTTTTTTAAAGAGCATTATATCATTACAAAGGTATTTAGTACTGGGGATTAGTATATGATTAATCACATATTATATTTATTTATTGATCAAATTTTCTATTTCTAACAGGGATTTGGTTTTTTTGAACTTCTATTGAATTAAGGTTTTTTGATAGTCTTTCTTACTAGAGCTGTTATGCTATACTTCTAGGATTCTACAAGTTTTTTCTGAGAAATAACCATGTATTATATAATCTTCCATTATTATATCTTGATTAAAATCACTATGTGTTCATTTATGATAATAAGATAAAACTTCTGGAGATTGATTCTTATATCATTTAGATGATAGAATTCCTTTGCTTTTCCTATAATTTTTTGCATTTCCTTTCTATTGTCAGTAATCCAAATGGTATCATCTATATATGTACTAACAACTGGATACATCTTTTTTGCAGCCATTCTTTTTTTATTTTTCTATAGTTTTTTGATTGTGATAGTTAATGATGGGTCCCTAAAGTATTTAGCATATAAAATTTCACAGATCACTTATGTCCTTTTTTGAGGGACAAAATTTATAGTTCTTCACTTTAATAGAGGCAAAAGTCAGAAAATAATATAAATCAATAATTTGGATAATAGAAAACAATTTTAAGTAATTTTTAAATAGTTATTAATTTAAAAATTTTAATGGTTTCTAGTAAGGGACATTTGACTTTTGTCCTTGCCTCCCTCTTTTAATTACTAATAAAAAAATCAGTTTTTAGATAAAACAATAAGGCCATATATGTGTTTAAAGTCATGGTGGCAAGGGTCTCTAGTAAGCAGTGATTAAAATTTTACTTGATATGTAAATTTTGATATATAAAATAGTATTTAATAAAAGTCTTATTGGCTCTAATTATAATCATTAAAGCTATATTTATTAGAGTTTAAAAATAGAATTGCTTTATTGGAGGAGCAATTGTTAAAACAGATAATTTCAAAGCAGGTATTGTTATTGTAAATACTAAAATTACAAGTAAAAGAAATATAATTGTTAGCCTGGTGCAAGCATCGTAATTGTTAAAAACTGATAATATGGTAGATCAATAATACAAACATGGATATAAATCTGTATAAA